ATGAATCCTTCCCTCAATATTGCTTTAACGAATCATATTTTTAAGTTATAATTAAGAAATGCGTGCTGTTAAGAAAAATAAATAAAAGTTTCAAGTTCGAAAGATTTCTGTACGATGAATCATACAGATTTACCATTTAAAACGCATCGCATGTAAATCACTAGTGCAGGAAATAAGCGGTGAAAAGGATACATAAGGCGTAGAAAGAATTTTATCTTATCGGAAAGAACTCGAATATTCTTTTAAAATGTATTTGCACGCTCTCATAAAAAAAGAAGAAAATTTTAGTGATAAATCTGCCATGATTAATCGCTGAAACTTTTTATGGAGAATTTAAGAATAGGCTTGTTCAGTACTCTAAAAAAGAAAGAAAAAAAGAAAAAAGAGACGGAAGCACCTTGGGTAGCTTTTTATTTTATGTTCAGACTCTCAAGTATTCAATCTCTATTAATGGGGGCCGGGATAGCCTGGTCGGTAGGGTGCTGGGCCCATATCCAAGAGGTCGTGGGTTCGATCCTCGCCGGCCGAAGACTCCCCGTGTAGTAAATGGTGACTGATGCACGTTAAATCTGTCGAATTTCAAAGTCCTCCATGTTCCCACAACAAATCAATACCTCTGGGGGTACTGATCCAGGAGTTTCCTTGTCTTCTGGATTGGTTCAAAATTACAAGGCTACGGAGTTGAACGTTAGTAGTCGTAAACCCATGAACTTGGGTCGGCTGTTCAACGACGGTTATAAAATAAAATAAAATCTCTATTAATGGTTCAAGGGCCTTATTTTAAAGTGCAAATGATATTTTAAGCTATGAAACAAGAACATACTTGCAATAAGCATACTTTTTCTCAATAGATTTGAATTCTTGACTCTCAAGAGATGAGGGGTGTTTATTTATCTATTCGGCTTTGAATAGACAACCCAATTCTGACTTTACGACTACTAATGATAAACTCCGTAGCCTTGTAATTTTGAATCCAACCCAGAAGACAAGGGAACTCCTGGATCAAGTATTGGGAGCAATTTACCTTCGCGGAGTACTTTTTTGATGAAATCAACCTGCATTTGCTTTGCATGGTAAGGAAAACCTCCCACTGTTAGCCTGAGGGCAAGGGAACTCTAACTCATTATCCGTCTACCACTGAAGATATTTTACGTCATCACTGTGGTCGGTGTGGACCGGGTGCGGAATTCGTATCGACCCTCCATCTCCCTAGGATTCGAAACCTGGTCTCCTCATTGTAAGAGCTCTGAGCCCCCATGTCCCAAGATATGATGAGTAGTTGAAATCTGGAAAATATATTCGCAATAGAGTTGATAAGAGAACCAACGAAAGCTTCAACCTCTTACTCTCACTTTCACTTTCTCCGTATTTAACCAAATCTCCAATTAGTTTTAAACAATGTAATTTTAAGCAATAAAATATAAAATTTGAACGAAATCGGATAAATAGTTTCTGAGTTCATAAAATTTCAAGGAAGTCCTTTTTCTAAAATTCTTTTTCTCAGGAATTATTCGAGCAATTTCGTTCAAGTTTTGCATTTTCTCTTTTCAAATTACTTAGTTTAAAATGATATAAAAATTCTAATACCTTACAACTCAACATTTTTCAACCCTCATTAAATAAAATCATAAAAACGCTATTACAAAATACAATTTACATGGAACTTTCATTGAATAAACATATAATTGTGTCCAAAAAAACTTTTTCGATTCGCTAAAAAAATTCCGAAATGATCGAAAAGGGATATAAACAGGTGAAAAAAAAGGCTCTTCTGAGTAAACTATTGGGACTATTGTTGAATGAAAGGCTTAGAAACACCCATTTTGTTTACTAAAATAAATAAATAAATAAATAAAATTATCAGCAATTGAAATCATTCTCTGTGTAAAACATATGCCATATTTTCAACTTTTTATTTGATTTTTTTAAGTACACTGTAATGTTGCGGTGCATCACTTTAGTGGTCAACTAGACTTGTGATCAACTATAGAGAGATTAGGAATTTTTTTTCATTATTTTTTCATAATATGTTATTCACTTTGTTGTTATTCACTTGTAAAGATAAATGTAATAAAGCTCTTTTTAACATGACTTAAAAATTTTATTGGTCAGATATTCCATGCATTTTAAGAAATGAAATTAATTGCCAGAAAGAATTACAATTTTATACATAAATTTTAATAATAAACCGAATCTTTATATTTTGCCAGTGATGTTTCTCAAGTTTTTATTATAAGTAGTTTCTTAAAATATCAGTCTATGCAAACCTATGCAAACTCAGTAAACTTAACATTAAATTCATTACCGTCATGTGGGGCTACTTTGGGCAGGATTTCGCAGTTTTTGAACTTTGACATGTAAAAAAACTATGTTAATTCAAATTTTAGTAAAATTTATCTATATTATATTCCTAACTGGACTCAGACGAGTGAATTTGATCAATATTGGCATTATTTGTATGTAATATTTACAAATAATAAGTCAAAACATACCTTGCACAAAGTAGCCCCCAAGTGGGGCTACTTTGTGCAGCGATAGGAATTCAGTTTAATAATCATGTTTTTAGTAAAATATTGATATAAAATTGTTAAAAAAGTTAATTGTTGACATTTTTAATAACAAAAACATCAAGATATGTAAAGATATTAGTTTGAAAATAATTTTCAGCGTTAAAAAACCATTTTTTATAAAGAATTTTTTCTTAAAAAGAATGTTTATTTCAAAACATTTGAGTTTAAACAAAAGGAAACCATATACATTTTTGAACATTGAAATGGATGAAATTTCAAAAATAATAATTATTACATATTCATTAACATTTATAATATTGATAAATTTGAACATAACATGCTTGAATGAACATGACAGAACTTGCTCTTCAGTTTCTGTCAAAATCACCTGATGTCCTATAAAATATATTTTTATGTGTTAAATCGTTTGATTAATTCATTAGAAAAATCTTTGTAGAAGAAAAATAATAGTTTACCAGCACGTTTCACGTGTTTCTTGTGAATTTTGTTAGAGATAGTATTTCTGTGGATTTTGTACATCCGAGAAGCTTCTGCAATCGACATACCACCAGCAACTGTTTGCAAACATTGTTGCAGCTTTTCTAAAGTGTAATCACGGTAGTTTCTCGTTCCAGGTATTTTTTTTAAAACGTCTGACCATTTTTCTGTCGAAAAAGAAAAAACGAATGAAACTTTGCACAAAGTAGCCCCCACAGTGCATTTTTTTTCATTTTCCGTTTATTTGTTACTAATTTTCAAAATTTTTTAACGCTAACATGATATAATTGTATATTGATATATAAATAAAAAATTTTGCACTTACGACAATTGTTTTATCAACGTCTTTGCATTTCACAGCTAAAGTTTCCACGCACAGTTTTCGACGTCCGACGTTCTCGGAAAGTTGTTGACATTGGATAAACAAAACACACCCTGAGATTGTTTTAAAATTCGAAAAAATGTTTGTAGTAATAGAGGAGACTTATATCTTCAAATGCCACACATTTTTAACGTGAAAAAAACATAGTACTGAAAAGCAGCACTTGAAAAGGGCCAAATTCGAATTTGCACAAAGTAGCCCCACATGACGGTATTTTAAAATTTATTTTGTTACATGAATTAAATTTAATATATAAATTATATTTATTATTTTTTGTAAATTATGGTTATGAAAGTTGAATTATATTTATTTAATTTATTCTGTTACAGTGTGAAAAAAAAGAAGGATCACTCTGAGTATACCTTTTGATCTAATGATCGAATTTTCCCTTACTAGGACTTAATGGCTCGAGGAGGTGACCTAAAATATGCTAATTAATTAGCGCAGTCGATATTTTAAGTTACGAAATCAGACACAAAAACGTACCTTCTTTGAATACATAATCATAAAAATTCCTTTTTTTCGGTGGATTTGGATTTCTGACACCCAAAATTTAGGGAGTAGCCGCAATCTGGGAAATATGGTCCCAATAGTTTGGTTAGAATAGCGATCCAAAATTTGAACCCCAAAATCTTAATTTTACTTTTTGCATTTTTCGCCATGTCTCGAGAGTTTTTTAAGCGAATTGAAGAAACTTTGTGCACAATTATAAAATTCATTTATTTAAAGATAATTGCATGCAAAAAATAATTTTTAGTTAGCATTATAATTTTTTAATTTTGTATTTAATATTAGTAGAAGTTTTTTTAATTGTATGGTATACAATTTCTTACATAATTTTAAGGAATAATATTTTGCATGACAAAATACTGACAATACTATACGAAGTCGAATAGTTCCTTAGAAATCGAATTTCAAAAAAAAGGTCTTAGTTTAAAAATTCAATTTTTCAGGAACTATTCGACTGATTTCACTTAAATTTTGCCATGTAAAGTTATGTTCTTTAAAGTGCCATAAAAATTGTATATCTTACAATTTAAATTTTTTCCTTTATTGTTCAATAAAATGATTAAAAATAATTGAAATAAAAAATATTTATTGAAATTTATTTTTTGCGTGGAATTATCGCTGAATAAATGAATTTTACAATTGTGCGCAAAATTTTTTCAATTCGCTTAAAAATTTCTGGAGATATGGCAAAATTCGCAAAAAGTTAATTAACTTTAAGTTGTCCGAACTGTGCACCGCTCTTTTGACCAAACTATAGGGAATACATTTCCCAGATTGTGGCTATTGTTGAGGTCAAGAATCAAAATCCTTTGAAAAAATGGTTTATTTATTCAGAGAAAGTATGTTTTTGTTCCTAATTTCATAACTTTAACTATCGCATATTTAAGGTCACCACTTCAAGCCATTAAGAGATATGTGAAGATCAGATCATTAGATCAAAAATTCTTCAGGATGATTTTCTTAACCACTGCATAGTATTGTAAATTATTAAGGACTTTTTTACAAAAGACCTTAATAATTTACCAATAATTACGATAACTACTTTAATAAATATACCATACCATATCACTTACACAGTAAAAGAAATAACTACTACTTGATTAAAAACAGAAATTTTTTTTATTTAAAAATAGATAGTGTGACAACCGTATAAATAACATAAACTGAAACTTGTAGAAAACAAGTTTACTTTAAGAAACAGTTTGCAGTTTTCTAATTCTTAAGAGAAAAATAATTACAAAAAGACTTTTTTCTAAGCATTAATAATGAAAATGAGGTTCTTCAACTGTGACACATTTTTGAAAATTAATTCGATTGAAAATAGAAAGATACCTTATTTAAAAATAGATAGCACAACATATACATAACAGAAACAGAAAATTGTAAAAAAAATAAATGTTTTTTTTTTAATTTCAATTAAAGAACATTTGAAAATTGTCTTCATTATAATGTCTTCAGTTTTAATTGTTAGTCACTCTCAGGGCGAACAGATATACATTTGTCCTTATCAGTATGACGTAATTGTAGCCAATAGTATTGGAACAAATATTGTGAGGAAATAAGAAGAAACGAAGCCATCCCATGAAACAAAGAATGGCAACATAAGTAAGCTAAAGAAATACTTCTTGTAAAAGCCTTTCCAGGTTACAAAATAAACAAACATCACTGCAATCAAATAACATTTTACTGATGGTTCACTATTTGTTAACCAAAATGCCATCAATAAGCAAACGATAATGTATTTTAAGTATGAAGTCAACTTGAAAGTTGGCTTTGAGGATTTCTTACGTTCCCCTGACAGTGGATATCGGACTCTTTCATGTGCTGTAAGAATTGCTTTTCTGGCCCCATCCCATTTATGAGGACCTTCTAGTCTATATTGATACGGCAAAGCTGGACCAAACATAACAGCTTTATATAGTGATATATCCGTAAAAAAGAGCTTCCACATGTTTGGTTTTGCTCCAATTTCTTCAGCTATTTCATCCATGTATTGGACATAATCCACTCTTACCGACATCTTTTCGTGTGGTGCGAATCGTTTCAAATTTTCTTCATAACGTTTATTTATACTTTCCATCATAACTTCTTCACTTGGCAAGCTGCATTTACCACTGTAAACTTGAGCAGCCCAACGACACTGCATTTCACCCAAAGGAAATCCTGGTCCAAAAGGTAAGAGAAAACCAATTATTGCTAAAGTTGGATGTTTCAAATGAGGAGGGTAGACACATTTGTATAAGTTTATTTGACCGTTATCAGTTGTTAGAATGCCGTCTTCCAGAAATGGAAAACTCCATTTATAACCGGTAGCCATTATTACAACATCAACCTCTGTGACTTGAGTTTCATTTTCGAAAATAACACCTGTTTCTGTGAAGCATTTCACATCTTTTCGCAACACTACAGAACCTGTAATGAGTTTGCTACCAATTAAGTCATTTGTTGCTGGATCTTTTGATAAAGCATGATAAGCAGGCTTCAAATTGTATAAATTGTGGTTGAATTTACTCTGTAATTGAACTTTTTCGAGATACCAGCTGCAAAAGTTAACTCCAACAGCAGCCTGAACTGTACTCATAAATCTTCGAAGCATGCAGTAATCAAAAGGCAATCCATAAGGCCCTAGTCTTGGTAAGATCCAAGCTCCATTTCTTGTACTGAGATATACCTGTAAAAAATTTGAAAACAAAAATTAGTAAAATAAAGTTTAGTAAACTAAATAGAAGCTGTTTTTCAAAGGTTCCTTCGTCATATGAAATGATGCTTTTTTACGAATAATATGATATTTTCATAAAAGTTTTTAGTTCGCTACAGTTACTTATGACTGTCAGGACAAGTTTAGCCCATCTAAAGCCAGGGCAGTCTATGCTTATTCTGAAAATGGTGCAAAACGTCTTTGCGGAGAAAAGCCGCAGTTTTGTAAAGATGAAAAGCGTTATTGATGGTCTAATTTTTTAATATTTAAAAATTAACTCCAACGCTGCCTTATCTGGGCTCATAAAAATTTGCAAAATATGAGAATAAATTAGTGAATTTCATAATTTTCATTTATGTGGAAAAATGTTGCGATTTTTAAAAAAGTTTAATAACTTTTAAAATATTTAAATTATTAGTCTGTTATATGAGGCCCAGATAATTCTTCACGGCAAGACGACATACATAGTTTAAAATTATCACTTTACTTCAAGTGTAAGGCACTTAAACTATGGCTTCCTTATTTTCCTCGGCGACAAAGCTTTGAAAAACCTTGTTGATTGATAAAGCATTAATTTAATTTAACAGTGTTTTTTGAAGCTCTTTTAACATGGAAAATAAAAAGAAGCTGCAGCTTAAGTGACTTACAATTAATACCTAGTTATAATTTTTAACTATATGTATCATATTGCTACAAAAAAAACTTATCTGGGATTTAGAACGGACAAATAGGTTAAATATTTTAAAAGCTGTTAAACTTTTTTTTTAAATCACTAATTTGGCGAGATTTTTCCCTACAGATGAAAATTTTCAAAATCAAAGAATTTTTCCTAATTTTTATGAACCCAGATAATGCAGCGCTGAACAAACTTTTTAAGTATTAAAATATATTAGATTTCTAATGCTTTTCATAAAACAGCTGCTTTTCTTCATATGCTTTGCGGCATATTTAGAATTAGAATTGAGCGCGCAGGCTAAAGATGAGTTAAACTTGACCTAATTGTTGCAGACTCACAGTAATTATGAAAATAGCATATTATTTGCGAAAAAGTGTTATTTCATATGGTGACAAAGCTTTCGAAACAAAGCTTTAAATCTTTTTTTGCATGCAGTTATAAAGTTCAAAAATTTTAATCGTGTTTCTTAAGTTCAGAGACTGAAATACGTACGCATTAAATTGCGAAACGAAAATAAATTAAATTTATCCCTTAAAAAACGCAAAATACTATAAATTTAAACTGAATGAATTAAGTTAGATTAAAAAAAGCAAAATGAGATTAAGAGTAAACCCTTTTGTTAGGTGAAAAGTCAAAATATATATTCAAATTATGTCGCTCATTATAATTAATCTTCTATTCAGCTAAAAAATGCTTTTCAAATATATTTGCGATTGATATTTGCAAAGGTCAAACACATTTCATTGAAGAACGGCTAAGAACTTTCCCCTATTTTTATTTTTAGCCTATCATTTATTTATTTATTTTTTCAGATGTACATGAAAACTACTAGTTAATGAGAAATATACATGTTTGGTAATAGGGGCAATCTTAATAGATTGAATGATTGATTTTAATTTACCAATTAACTAGTGTTAACTATTAATTTGGTAATGAAATCAGACGCCAAAACCTTTCTTTTGGCATATTTGGATTCTTGACTGCCAAATTTAGGGAAGAAAGCCTCAATGGGAAAAATATGGTCTTAATAGTTTAGTCAGGAGAGCGGTCGAAAGTTTGAACCTCTTGGGGCAATATTTACTTTTTGTATTATATCTCGGAAGCGTTTTAAGCAAATCACTAACTTTTTACACGCAATTACAAAACTCATTTATCAAAAAGTAATTCTAAAGAAAGAAAACTAATAATTATTTATCATTTTATTTAGTCATAGTTGAAACAGTTTCGAGTTAAATAGAAATATATATGAATTAATAAATAAGAAATTTTCAACTGTATAATTGTAACTGACAGTGAACAAAATTTAATCGAAATGGTTAGAACAACTTTTGAGTTATGAAATTTACTAAAAAAAGTTTTATTTTTAAACTTTTTCTCGAAAACCTTTAAGCCGACTTCATTTAAATTTTTGCATTTTGTCATTAATGTAATGACGATAAAATGAAGTAAAAATTCGCATATCTTGCAATTTAATATTTTTTCGGCCTATTATTAAATAAAGTATCATAAAAATATTTAAATTATAATTATTATTTATTTTTCATTGCACTGAAATATCTTCAGTTAAATGAGTTTTACACTTGCATGCAAAAAGTTTTCGAGATACTTTATTTTACAGCCGAAGTTGAACAGCCGACCCAATTATGAGTTTACGACTATCAATGTTCAACTCCATAGTTTTGTAATTTTGAACCCAGCACAGAAAACAAGGGAACTCCTGAAACAAGCATTGGGACAAACTAGTCTTCGTGGAGGACTTTTCGATGGAACTAACCCTCGTTTGTATTACAGGGTTAGGAAAAACACGAAAACCCCTCACTGTCAGCTCGACGACAAGGAGATTTTAACCCATGATCTCTCTACCACTGAGAATATTCACGTCAGTGAAAAGCGGGAGCAGAATTGTCATCAACCAGCTACTGCTGGGATTCGAACCTGGGTGACCTCATTGGGAGACGAACGTTTTATCCCCTGAGCCACCGCGGCTCTAGTTTTCGATGTATGGTGAATTATGCTAAAAGTTTAAATAGCATTAAAGGGACAAAACGAAAACATCCTTTGCATCCAAAGAGTGTTCCGTAAAGACCACCCTTAACATGCATTTTTAGAATCTTCATCAGACATGTAAGCAATGTATACGCATTAGTGGTTACAAATTAATATCTAACTGAGGAATAGATATCCAAATTAATTTATATCAGAAAACATAAACATCAGAAAACATTAAATAAAAATTATAGACTTTAAAAAAAATCTCAACCTAAGGAGTATATTTACAAATAATAATGCATTAGAAATATTTTCGACTTAAAAAATTTATTTAAAAAAATCAATTGATTTAAATCAATTGATATTTAAAAAGTATCACAATTACAGTAAATCAATGACTTTTTTAAAAGAAATAAAGGTAATTAAGAAGCAATATTAATTATGATTTAAATCATGCCAACCCTGCTGTCTTCATGCGCTATAATTTGTCAGATTTCTGGGGGCCTTTTTGTTTCTTTTTCTGGGTACGATATTAATTTGAGAACTCTAATATGTATGTTTCTCTTTTGTTTTCCTTTTTTATAAGGATTATAAAAATACACATTAAGAGTGGTCGTTGCGGAACACGCTGAATTTTTCAATTCGACTCATCACTTATACAAATGTCCACTGTTTTATTTCAAATTTAAATTTAATTAAAATTATTTGCAGAAGTACGTAGGATTGTTTAATTTTATGGTATGTAGTTTTACTTTTGAAATATCAAATTTCTGGTAATTGGGGAGGGTTGTTTTGGGATTAAAAAACAAAAAAAGCGGATTTAATCCTGGTAAAAGCCGTTGTGTCAAGGAAATTATGCGAGCTCTTGCACTGTGTGCAATAAAAAAAAAGTGAAAACACAAAATAACTTTTAATTTTCACATACTAGGACTCAATGGTTCGAGATCCTAACCTCAAATTTGTTAATCGGTTAATTTGTTAATTGCGTCTATCTTCATTAAGATATGAAATTAGATAGAAAAACAAACTTTCTCGGAATAAACTTTCTTTTTATTAAATATTGTTCTGGATTCGCGATTCACGAAATATAGGGGGTAGCCTTAATTTAAAGAATAGGGCTAGTTTATCCAAAGACCATGTAAAAATGTCGATGTCTTCTTTTACAAAAAATAACCTCTTTTTCTGTAAAAATGTGTTTTTTCTGTTTGTTTGTTTCTACAAGCAGCGGTAATGATCATCGCCTGGTAAATGCACCTTGTAAAGGTTAGATCTCCTGTTTGAAGTGAAAGAAGGAAAAGATAAAGCGAATACCACCATGCTCTTGTTAAGAAAAGCATGTTTTATACCATGTGAAAAATAATTTTTATTAATTATTTATTATTTTTAATTGCTTCATTGAATAGTGTTAAAAAAATTAAAATGTAAGGTAAGAAGTTGTGACTCAGAAGATCAAATCTAGAGCTTTATCACTCATATAATGAACCTGACATTATTAACTTTATAAAACGACAAAGAATGAAATGGGCAAGCCACGTTATCAGAATGGACGAAGACCGTACCACAAAAAGAGTTTTCAATGCCAGACCAGTTGCCCCACGAAAAAGAGGCAGGCAGATTTTGAGATGGATAGATGGCAAAGAGAAGGACCTTTTGATCTTAAAAGCAAAAATTGGAAAACACTACCAAAAAAAAAAGGTTAGCCTGGAAAAAACTTCTTGAGAAGACCAAGACCCACCCTGGGCTGTCGGGGCATTGATGATGATGATGAAAAAGTTCTAACATCATCTTAAAGTACATAATTTTAAATGATAAAATACAAAATATGGACGAAATCGACCGAATAGTTCTTGAGCTATCCGATTTTTAAATATCGTATATTTAAAAATTTTATTTTCTCAGAATTATTTGAAGAATTTCGTTAAAATTTTTTATTTTGTCATTTTGGATAACCAAACTTTATAATTCTGTGCTAAAAATTTTCGAGATATGGAGAAATAAGCAAATAGTGAAATTAACAATAAGGCTTCCAAACTTTCGACCTCTCTTCTGCCTGAACAATTTTGACTATATTTTCCAGACTGGGGCTATACCCACCTCATATTTCGAGGTTTAAGAATAAAAATTCGACAGAAAAAGGAGGCATTGTTTAATCGGCGAAAGAATGTTTTAGTGTCTGATTTCGTAACTTGAAATATTGTCTGCACTAAAAATTTAACATATTTAAGCATACTTCCTCGAACCATTAAGATTGTACGTGGAAATCCGATCATTAAATTAGAAGTTATTCAGAGTGTTCACACTTTCTTTTTGTTTGTGCACTGTACATAGCTATTCGCATAACGAAATTAATTACAATTTGTATTTATCTCGTTCTAACTAAAACTATTGCAGGCTCTACTTTTTCAGCCTTACACACTGCGAAAGAAGAAAAAAAAAGACCTAATCAAAGAAAAGATGTACAGCAGCATTTTATTTTAAAAATTGCTTTGCAAAAATTAATTTTTACGATTCACTAGTTATAGTATAATAAAGGACATTACTTAATAACATTACTTCGATTACTAAAAATATTTCAAAGCATACTTACTTTTTCCGTGCTTAAGTTATGTCCCCTTTATATTAATTTTATCCACAATATTTCGAAAAAATAAATAAATTGAGATGAAATGATTAATACTTGAAACTATGATTTGTTAAGTTGTTAGAAATAATTTTGAAAAAAAAATGCTAACAAAACTGACGAATGCTATGAATAAAAATTACAAAATCAATCCTGACTTTATCTTAAAATGTATAGAGGTTGAGAAGTCAGGAAAAGAATGACTGAAATATTCATTCTACATAAATATTTATTTTACATCAATATTCATACGCAATAAGATCCATTTTAATTTCAAAGAAAAAGCTACTAAATCCAATCAAACAAAATAAAATTCATTTCAAAATCTTTTAATTAAAGTGAAGAGTAGATCAAGAAAAAAACGTTATAAAAAGTTTTTTTTTCTACAAATCACTTGTACAAACTTTTTTTAAAATAAAAATGTAAATAATATTTTATGTGCTAAATTTATGGTAATAGGGCACTAAAATTTAAGTTCTATGTTAAATAATTGTCAATTTTTATAGTCATAAAATAAGATTTGTGCTTATTTCAAAGGAAATGAATTTATCATACAATTTTTCCTTATTGCAAACGCACAAGAAATAAAATGTCAAAAAATATGTATTGAATGTTTTTACTTCTTTTGCAAGAAAATGCTTTTTTCTTCAAAACTTTTGTCATGCAACACTTAAATAATTACATGAAATCAAAATTTATTAAGCTTGTTTTTATTGTTCCTAATGACATTTGGATAAGCCTAGCTCACCAGCCATTGCTCTAGAATATTAAGTTATGAAGGATCGCCTTTCATTTGGCAAGAGAGTACCGCTAAAGAGAAAATGCAACTTAACTCAGAATCCCACGAATAGATGGCAGCACCACTTGTTCGTGAGGTCACTTTAGCAATTTAAACATAGATCTGAAGGGTAGGAAATTTTCTACATATCCCTGTACCCATGGTAATGCTCAGCAACCGACCATAATTTAAGTGCTTTAACCGCAGGGCTACAGCGACCCAAATGTTATTAATTCTTCTCATAACTTGCCGATTACATCTGAATTACCCATATATTGCTAGTCTATGGATGCAAAGTACTCTGGAAGTTATAGTTTTTAATTTTGTTTCGCTATAATTTTTTTAATAATATTACTCTAATATGAACACTATTAAATGCTTATAAATAGATTTAAGTAAGCATTAGAATGGAGTTTCTAGCTTTATCAAAAGATTGTTTTATCATTCTTTACTGTATTGGGTTGATTGTCGACTAAGGACTTAAAGGTCACAGACGGGCATAAGTTAAAAATAAACTTTTATCACATACTTTACATCTGAACTTAAATTCTCCTCCAGCCTTGCTAATAGTCTCCAGCTATTTATTATGCTAATAATCTAATGGTCTAACCGTTATAAGCAAATCAAAGATTGCTCTGAAAGTTTTATTATACAAGATGGGGCAAAAAAACTCGGACAAAGTTATTACATCATAAAATAGAAGTTAACTAATTTCTTTTTAATTTGCGTGTTCATTTTTTTTTGTCCACCACTTTAAATATAAAATATTTTATAATATAGGGTACCCCATAAATGTTGCGACAAATTTCTAGGAGAAGTAGGACACATCATAAAGATTAAGAATTACCTAGGAAACCACGACCGGAAATGTCATCCTACGCTGCTAGGGGCACTTTCCTATTATGGACATGTTGTTCGTGTGCCTTTGAACTTGATCTTTTATTTTTCTAAAATATTTTAATTCCATGTTAATTTTATGTTACTATTGGTTATTTTCGAGAGTTTCATTAAAATAGGCTCAGAGATGCTTTTTTATCGTAATTTTAGGCGAGCTTGTCCAGTTAGTCGCCAAATCATTAAAATTACGATAAAACAGCTAATACTGCACTTATCTGAAAGCAGTTTTTGAATAGAAAACAGAAAATCAAGATAATTTAGATGAATAAAAATATCTGATGTTCAAAGGCACACGATGTAACAGTACGTAATAGGAAAGCGAACTTAACGAGATACGACAACATTTCTGATCATGGTTTCCTAGGTAATTCTTAATCCTTATGATGTGCTTGCTTTACTTTCCCTAGAAGTTTGTCGAAAGATTTACGGGACACCCTATATCTCTCTTAGTTTACGTATTTATTTATTATTATTTTGATTTTTTACAATATCAAGCAAAAAATCTGCTATTTTAGAGCTGTTAAAGCAATGAAAACGCATTCGTTTACACTGTACTCAAACGTTGTACAATAAAGTTTGGACTCTATAAATCAATCGCTTTGGCTAGAATGGGATAGATTAAAGGTCCTGCGGCCCATTGCTGAAAATTTCAAATATTTGCGCCTTGCAGAAGGTGGCCACTTTGAAGCAATGAAATTTATTTATTAGTAAAAATCTACTTGTATTATTATTTGTTATATTTTGTTAATTTATTTATTTTTAATAAAATTAAAGCAAAAGTTGTTTGTCTGGGGTATTTTTTTGGCGCACTATGTAATGATTAGTTATTTTTATTTATTTGTTTATTTATTTTTGCAAATTTGAATCTTGTGATGCCACAATTGGCATTACATATTAATTTCCTATCTTTTAAAATATCTTTCATTACTTAAGCTTATTTTTATTAATAGAAATACATTTAAAATAAATCAAATACTTAATCTTTTAAAACGAACATAAAATATTTATTTCTTCTTTTCTAGATCAATGTAATGGATACTTTTTATTTCATTACTAATGCAGACTTATTTAAGAATAATCTAAAGATTTTTTCAATTTATTAATTTTCACTATCATTTTTAAGATGTGTTCCAGAACTCTTACAACAGCACTTTGTTTGTAATCGCGCAGAATAAAAAAGTTATCACCTAAATTATTTTTGTTTTAATGGCCGGATTTTCTCAAACTAAGTGCCAATCTCAATGGTTCAAAAGGGAAGCTTCGGTGTTAACTATTAATTAATTAGTGCAAATTATTAGTTAAGTTACGGCAAAACAGACACAAAAGTGTACTTTCTCTGAATAAAGTCTTAATTCACGGGAATCAGTAGGGGCAATCTGGAGCATATGGTCCTAATAGTCCAGTCGGTCGAAAATTTGAGCGGTCGAAAATTTGAATTCTTTATTGTAAATTTTACTTTTTACGTATTTCTCTTTATCTCGGAAAGTTTTCAAGCGAATCGAAATATACTTGCACTCATTTATAAAATACGTTTATCCAAAAATAACTTCATGTGAACAATGCATTTAATTATTTATTATTTTTAATGATGGTCAAAAAATTTTGAATTGTAAAGCATGCAAAGTTTTACACCATTTTAAACTGTATAATCTTATCTAAAAAAATACAAACTTGCACGAAACTGATGAATTACGTTCCAGTTTTGTATTTTGGCATTTAAATTTAATTTAAAAAGGTGTAAAAATTTTTGTACCTTACAATTCAAAAATTTTTCAACCACTATTAAATAAAACGATGAAAAAATCATTAATCAGTATTAAATTTTTGTAATGAAATTATCTTTGAATATACAAATTATATATTTGCGTGAAGAAAGTATTCAATTCGATTGAACTTCTGGTGATGTAGCGAAATACGAAAAAAGTGAACTTAGCATATAGGGTCAAATATTTATTATTCGGCTTGACTAAATTATTCGGACCAAATGTTTAGATTGCGGCTACCCCCATACTTTCATGGTGATCCAAATTCGTCGAAAAGCGGTGAAAAAGTACATTTTTTGTATTTGTTTCCATTACCTAATTAATGTAGTTAGCATTAATTAGAATATTTTAAAACCATTGAGATCACTTAGTTCGTAAAATTCTAATCATTTGAACAAAAGTTAAGACTGAGATTTGTTTTTATTTTGCCTACTATACAAAGAGCTATCCATATACTGTACCATAAAAGTTTTGAAAAATTTCTGTTCTCTCCATAGTACGCACTCCTCTATACCCGTGCGTGCATGAATCAGTCATGCGCGTTTTTTGTACAGGACTCCATCATTGAGTTTCAAAAATTTAAACACATTTTCTCAAAAAATATATAATAATACACTATTAGATTCTTTTTTAAAGCACCAGTAAACAAGAGGTCTTACCTGGGAAGAAACGTTACTTATTTCAACAGCAGCATCTAATCCAGAGCATCCAACACCAATTACTAAAACTCTCTTATCTTTAAATTGATCGCATCTTTTTAGACTATGAGTATGCATTATAATTCCACGATATTTATCCATTCCAGGATACTGAGCCATTTTAGGATAGGTAATGTGACCTACACCAACCATAACTCCATCAAATATTTCATCCGTTATTTCTCCTGTTTCAGTATTTTTAACTGTTGCGCACCATCTACCAGTTTCATCATAATCTGTAGCCCGCTTCACTTTTATAACTTCTCTGTTGTATGTAATATGCTTGAAACAATCAAAATGTTCTCCAACATCCAGAAACATTCTATAAAGTTCAAAGTGGCGCATGTAATTCGGGTATCTTTTATCTGGTGGAAAGTTAGTCAGTGCTCCCATTTCTTTACTATGGTTAATGACAGTTGTTGGCATAATTGAAGGTATACCCATGGGGGTATCTTCCCTATAGTACCATGTTCCACCAGGATTTGCTGTTTTTTCATAACATATCGGTTCATGACCTTCTTCTTTCAAACTTTTGATAGATCCAATTCCACTGAATCCTCCCCCGATGACCAGGATTCTCTTCTTAGATTCCATTTTTAATTTTTCACCTATTAATTAAAGAAAATTTTATTATTAATGTGATATTGTTAATTAATTTTCATACGTTTGCAATCCTTTTTTTTTAAAAAAATCGAAACTTTTAATTTACTTTAAATATTTATATAGTTCTTCTTTAGATAACATAACAAATTTCAAATTGGCAAGCATGAAAATAATTATTTCTAAATTTTCTGAACTGATACTTACAAGTTTTAAAAGAAGAATGTTTGCCTATTATTTGTTTCTTACATTGAACAATAGGTTTTAACGACATTTTTTAAAGTATATAATATTTTATAATAATATTTCCCGCAAATTTGCTGGTAATTACGCCGCCATTATTTTAAAACCCCGCATGCGCAAGTTGCGCGTCATTAATAAGTTTAAGTAGTTATACGGCTTCTGGTCTGTTACGATGCACATTCATTAACTGCAGTATATGTTAAAGATACTCCTGCGTTGTTACCTTATTTTATTTTAAATGTTATTTTCCTTATGTGTAATTAAACGTAACTTCGTTTCAATGTCGCCGCTCATCTGATCCATAAACATCCGCTAAATGTTTTTTGAATAAAACAAAATGTAAAAATAAGTAATTATTTCTAATAAGCTATGCTGTTTATGAAAGCTATATGCTGTAGTTTTAATGTTTCATGCTTTCAAATAAAATGTTATCCAACGATATTATGAAATTAAAAGTTTTCAAAATAAAAGTCCATTTTTGCTCCTACAAAAAATCACTCAATACTAGGGGTCTACGAATCATGGGCACCTGTTCATTAAGGTGCCAAAATATTGTACCCGAGACCAAATATTTCAGAAAAAAGCAATATCTTAGAAAAACATAATCTAAAAGAAATATTTTAGAAGAGCATTACATAAAAGAAATATTTTGGAAACGTTTGACACACAATGTTTTCGAAAAGCATAACGCAAAATCAAAATAGTGTTCATCAACTTTCTATTTCATTACATCCTATCTCTTAACCCTTTGACGCAATGCAGAATTTTCATTAAACATTTCTTTCATACTTTTTTCAGTATTTTTTATTAATTTAGGTCAGAATAAGTGAAAAATATTATATATAGAAATTAACAACTTATGGTAATGAAATGGGGATAGATCGGTGCGGATATTGACGTCCCTTCGCATCAACTGACGGTTCACTACCGAACAATAATTTTTCATATTTACACTTGCAGTTATTTAGATCTAAGAGTAACAGTTATTCATCAATGAAATTTCTTCAATTTGCAAAATTAATTATTGATAAGTTTTTGAATAAGTGAAAAAACTGCAATAATTTTAAAACGTCTTCGTCTTAATCCCTCACCATTTTGTTGTACGGTGAGACCCATAGACTATCAACACTATATAATAATTTTGCAACTTCTGCGTTTTAATCCCTCGCAATAAGACCCATAGGCTAACAACAATAACTCTTTTTAAATAGTTTTGCAACTTGTGTGTTTAAATAAATTCACCCTTATGATGAGACGGATTAATTAACATCATTAACTTCGCTTTAATTTTCAAATTAGAGATGCACCTTGTTGGCCTGTCCCGAGGGGCATACGGTTTGGACCTCCTCCAAACCAAATTTTTATTTAAGTCTATCAGAAAAGCTAAGTTGCAAAAACTAAAAACAAACCAATAATTACATGCGCTTTACAGGCAAAAATTAAAGGAAAGTTTAAAAAAATAATGAACAAATAAAATGAAGGTTAAAATAAAAAGTTAAAAATATTTTTTTCCTGCTGATCAGAAAATTAAACATTAAAATCTACTCCAAATTCAGAACTAAATCAAGTCATTTAATCATTTAAAAAGTTTCTGGTTGTTGTTGTTATTGTTCATTTACGTCGCACTAGAGCTGTACAATGGGCTATTGGCAACGGACTCGGAAACATCCCTGAGGATGATCTGAAGACATGCCATCACAATTCAAAGAGTTTCTGGAGTCCGGTTGTAGTTCCAAGCCATCATTTTGTTGTCCTCTTTGATTTATTTGAATTCTAAAGTTATTATTATTATTTTTTTGTTGATAATTTCAATCAACGCAATTTTGATTTGGAATCTATTGCTGAGTAAATAAGCAAATCACCCCTACAATCCAGTCGTAGTTCCCTTTGACGCAGATGGGATATATTTTTTCTGACACTCGAATTGCAAGCAAAAATATATTTTGATATTTTTTAATTATAAAAAACTGTCGAATAGTAGGTAATTATATTTATTTTATTAGGTTATTATATTATTAGTAATTATATTTGTACTAATATTTAAAATACAAGAAAAAAAAAGTAATTGGAATTTTTTTCATTCATATTCAAAAAATTTTTAATGAGTGATTTTGAGAATTAAAGAAGTTTCAATGATTAATAACTGTTTTTCTTGGATCTAAAAAGCTGCAAATAAGTGCAAATTTGAAAAACTATTGTTTGGAAATGAGCCGTGCTTGGAATATTTTACCTTTAACGAAGAAAAAGATACCGGTGTTTCATGCTGCAATTCATAACCATAAACTATTAAAATGCCAACTATAATATTCATTTATTTTGACCTAAATTAATGCTAAATAATGAAAAAAGTCGGAAAAATATACTTAATAAGAATTCTGCATCAAAGGGCAAAGAGTTAAAAACATTGAATACTGCTAAGGATAATCAAAATTTTAACTTTCAATTAAGCATACAAATGAAAAACACAATTTTTTGAGCATAGAAAATTTTCAGTTTGAACTTAATAAATTAAATATGCTTCTTACAAATTTTTTTTGTCATTTTAAAGGTAATTTGTATACATGTCATTATTTACTTTTTTATAATATTTCGAACTCTTGTTGTACTATTTAAATTTAGTGCAATACGTAAGATAACATTTCTAAATTAAAGCATTATTAAGAAATAAGTTTCATATATAAACTTCCTTAATGCTTTTTTAAATCCTTCCTACTTAAAAAAACAAACTTCAAATTAAATATTCTTATTCAAGAAAAGAAACGATTTGTATTATCTTTTTAATAGTGCCATTATTCAGCGGTAGATTTGGTTGAGCGACGCTAAGGGCTTTCACGGTTCAATGCGGTTATGTAAACAAATTGTTGAAACCACAAGGGATTTCATTCACCTTGTTATGTAAACAAACACATGCAATAAGTTACATCACAATTAATACAGATACTTTTTTTATTTTTAAAATCCTTATTAATAATAAAGTTTTTGGTTTTTACAGACCGTGACGTTGTCTTTCATTTGTAATTGCTTTTGTTATGGATACGGATATAATTTAATTAATTGCAGAAATGTGATTTTGAAAACCAGCAGAATGTATGTAATCTCAAGAAATACGTAAGACGCCATGACCTTAAATATTTTTTTAACTTTAACTTTTCCCCTTAGGCTGTTTAGTTTATTTGCTTTCTGTTAATTAACAGCTTCTTTTTTTAAATTTGAGCCGACAATTTAAAAGCTTTTTAAAAGAAGATAACACTTTAGAAAAGAGCGAAATTTTTGGTTTAAAAGCATGTTAATTTCACCTGTGTGTATAGAAGCATAGAACTTAATTTTTTTTCGCCCAGGTTTTAAAGGTAAAATCTGTTCTTGCTTTTTTTTTCAAAAACTGATGTTTTTAGTTTTTAATTTTTTTAAAATTTTTCTATAACAGTCCTCGATATTCTGATTCAAATCAAATATGTATATATTTTGAGCAAATGGGATTATATTGTAAAAGGTGATTAATATAAAACATGAGGTTGGGTTTCGAAACACTTAGCTCTTAACTGTACCTTTATTGGATGTTTGCTATGTTTTACTGAAAAAGTAATTTAAACGAACTTAGTTAAATGGCTGGGTAAAAAAGTTCTGAAATTTCATTTAACCAAAAATATAAAAACATAACCCCTTTTTTCAAATTACAAAGTAATGCAGCAATTTGTAGTAAAAACATAATTACATATTTAATTTTGTACATATAATTGCATATATATA